AGGTTTAAAGACCTTGTGGAAGAATACAACTTGTTGCATCAAAACCTTGTAAGCCTCCAGAGAAAAGGAAATGGTTTATTTGAAAATATAATAGATTTTTTGTTGACCATTGGAAATGCAGCATTTTGAATTAAGAACACAACTCTAAATTAGAGACATATAACCAGCTTTTTTTGTTTTTTGCTTTTGTATATTCCATTTAGCAGTGCATATAATAGGTTATTTTTAAAATTTCTGTGAGAACCTCTTACTGTGCTCTGTGCTTGAAAAGTTATTATAACCAGCCATAGTATCTGCATGTAACTTGGACTCGTATTTAGCAAACAGTGTTATTTGGGACCAAGTTATGATCTCTTCATAGTGTGGTGTAATAAGCAAAAGACATATCAGATACCTTATTAAAAACTGCAAATAATATAACATAAACACTGTTAAACTGTATATGAAAGGTTTTAGTTTCACCATCATGTCAGCTCACTATGCTGCAGAACACATTTGTACATGCACTCAAAAATTCATGCAGACACAAGTGACTTCAATGGAACTACTTGTGTAAGAACTCACCAGCATGATTAGGAGTTGTACAAACGCGACCTCAAATTATACATGCAAGTTAATATGTTCTCATCAAAATAAAAGTTAATTTTTACTCAGCCTCATTAAAATAGCATCAAAGTAGATTTTTCACGATTATAAACCTCAGATTTTCAATACTGATAGTCATAAATATGCTTTAAATAAAGTAATTATTTGATCAGAGCAATTGTCATTCCTCTTATACTATATAACTTTTATATAATGTTTTTCATTGATAGATCACAAATCGCTTTGTAAAGGAAATCAGTATCATTCTCCCCAATTAATTAGCTGGTTTCATTTACTTACACTGTGTTGTCTTGATTTGCAAAATATATACAAAACTCTTTATGTTTCCCTTTTAGATCTAATGTGAAATGGCAGCTATATTCACTCTAGCATGAGAGGGTGCTTTCTGCCTTTCACATCCTCCAGCCCCTACGCATACAGACCCCTCTATTTTTTCTGACTGAGTGGTTTTGCAGAGCAGAGATCAAAAGGGAATTTATCAGTATCTGTCTCCCTTCAGACCATTGAAGCCAGACTTCTGACAACTGCGTAGCTGAAAAAGGCACCAAGAACAGGGGGGGAAAAAGAGAGAAAGAAAAGCCCCATGACTACATTGTAATTGTCAGATTATGGAGGAGGAAATTGCTGTGTGAGCACCCACAGCTGCTTTGAAGGTGGGGTGGCAGAGCCTGGGGACTGTGGCCTCTGTTGATTGTTGGTTTGTCCAGCCCAAAAGGCTTCAAGGGTCACAGGCTCCTGAAGACCCTTGAGCTTATAGCTCTGAAGTTGAAACAGCATCCTCTTATGTTATAGAAACTTGTGGTTAAAGGTGAACTGAAATGCTTTAAACATACAACAAGAAGATCCCAGATCACTAACAGAACACATATGTAGATTAGAAGTTACAAATACAGCACTGCTTTAAATGCAGCTTAAAATCAGTCATGTAAAATTAGTTCATCCTTCATGAAGCTACCCAGGCTGAAACAGGAGAGTTCAGAGTGTTGTTAGTGACTGGGTCCTTCTGTAAAAAATGATATTGTAATGGTTAGGCAATAAGGACCACAATCAATCACTAGCACCCAAACTCGTTAGAGATTGCTCTGAGCTGTAAAATTTAGTTCCTGATCTAAACTTTACAGATTTCAAGAGATTTTGACCTGAAATTGTGAGCAGTTCCTTCCCTGACTACTCAGCCAAACTCTTAGGTCATGATATTAGGCAGCACAGACCCCATTTAGCTAGACCAAAGCCAGAGAGCCAGTTGTAAGGGCCTTGTCTGTATCAAATGTGTTTTGTATTTCCTCGACAACCTACAGTATATGCAATATTGCAGTCTTTCGCTTCTGAAAGCAGTTGTTGCTTATTCAAGCTTATGCCTTTCTGAATGAGTTATTCTTTGCCCTGCTCTTTGCCTGAAAACACTGAAAAAGATAACACTTCTGCATGATCATGGTAGTGATAGGATTATTTGTTGCACGGGAAACACAAATCCCTGAGCTCAGAACTTGAAAAATAGAAATTAGTGTTGAATGTATCCTCCATGTTGTGAATTCAATCAAGTTCAGGTACAGAATTAAATGGGAACCTGCTTATCTAAACTTCAACCCAAGCAAACTATCCAGAACAATTAGATCTGTAATACTGGGACTTGAGCCAGTTCCCTTTAAAAGTAATGAACAGGCTCCCACTGATTGTTGCAGGAAGGACTAAGGCTAGGGGCTGGGATTCTCAAGAAAGCCTGCTTTCTTGCAAGATTTATGGTTGTTTTTGCATTTGGTTGAGAACATGCTAGACAGAACACTCATGCTTTGGGCAGTTGTGCATTTAGTCTCAGCTACAAAGAAAGGCGACAGAAGCAAAAGTAACTGCAAAATATATAACACCAGTAGAAATAATGGCTGTTTAACTTAAGAATTAAGATTTGGTTTAATTTGCCTTCTTGGCAAAGGTTTAGAGCAGTTTCAGTTTTACCTGAATTGGTAAACCACCCACTAGTTAGAAGCTCACCACTTCTTTATGAATAGGTAATTATTTAAAACTTTTTGTCTAAATATTTATTTTATTTATGAGATGAGATTGCAAAGGACTTTTTAAAAATCATTTGCATCTACCTTTAAGTAAAATAACTGCAGTACACACCGCACTTTCTCCATCCGCGGCAAAGGAACTCTTTAGAGGTTCCATATGGGAACTGGCACCAAACAAAAGGAAGCTGGCCAAAGAGGTTAATTAACAGGGACACGTCCCCTTCAACATTTCACACCATGTTATTACTATCCAGATATTCAGCAGGATGTGGTTACATTTCTTCTCCATGGCATTTCAGAAATGCGTTTGAGACTGCCCTGTGGAGCCTTTTTCAGATTTAAAATCTGTCACTCCTAATACTTCCGTGTGACAGTGTAAATGAGAAAAGGATATTTGGTTATAGGGAGGTTTTCAACATAACACTCATTTACTTAAAGAAAGCGAGGAAGGGGATGTTGTTCCCTCTATTGCTAATGACTAGATTTTGTTTAAAAAATAAAAATAAAAAAGGGCTCCCCCCAGGTTATTTTCAAAGCAAACAAAAATAACCAAAATTAAATTTTATTTCTAATAGACAATTTTATTCACAGTTTTTGAAAAACCAAAGAAAGGCCTTGAAATTAAACAATTTCCTTTGTGTTCTTAGAATTTTCCCAGAAAAATAGAATTTCCATCAAATTGTTTTCCGGAAAGAACTAAACTTGTGTTTGATTAAGATTTTTGGCAGGAAAAACATTGTGGTAAAAAATTTTCAACCAACTCCACTAATGCTATCTTGGGTTTTCCAGACTATGGGCTAAATCCTTGTTGCCTTTGGTTTCCTTTCCAAATTGGCATCATTGTTAGAATACAGGGGAAGAAAGAACACAAGGAAGCTTTGTGTCCCATATGCAATAGCTGGGCATAGACCCAATTCATTTTAGTGGTTTCTAGGACTCAAGTAACCCCAAGGGCAACAGGGAGGGGCAGTGAGGGAGGTGGGGCTGGGGTGTCCCACTATGGTGGTGCAATGATACACCCTTCCTATTGCAGACATTAAGCCTTACAGCAATGATTGCTGTGTTAATGGTGTGACCACAATGCCCCATGAACAATCCCTCTGTGTAAATTACTTCTTCCAGGAGCATGAGTCACTCTCACAGAACAGGGTAAATGAGGCCAGACCAGCGTCCTTACATACTAAAATATACATTCCTGGCTGTTAGTTTCTACCATGAAAAGCTGCTTCTTGAGCTTCTGCAGAGAGCCTGTGATGTGGTCCTTCTGAAGGGAACCAGGCTTAAAGTGTTTCCTTATGCAAACAGGCACAAATGCCAGACAAAATTTGGCCTAAAGTGTTCTTTTAAAATCTAATTTTTCTTTCAGTGCCTCCCCTTTTAGTAAAATGCCAATTGAAAACAGAGTAGTTAACACCATTTGTTTTAATAACCACTTTCAGGTTTGCTTCATAAGCTGGTTCACAGGCATTCACAATGTTTCCTAGATTCACCAAAGTGGATGGACATTTCAAACACAAAACATTTTTCATTATAATGAGAACAAATCATGACAACGTTTCCAATCATATTGTCACTTCAAAATCCCTCTTCATAAAATGGAGCTTGGGGCCAAATAGAAGAGTCCTTGTAAGAGTGAAAATACGGTCTGAGAAGAAATGTTCTTCTACATTTGTAGTAAGATATTATTCCTGAAAGTGACAGCGAACTCTGAATTTCACTGAGTTTAGTGGGCAGTTATGATCATTTCCTGACATCTGTGCTTATTCCTCATTCAGCCAAAAGTTCCCCTGAAGAACTTCATATTGTAAGTTCTTAAGACAAGATTTAGGCTTAACATTTCACAGAAAAAGGCTCCTCAAGCCAGTCTAAGGGATGGCACATAGATGCACTACACCAGGAATAATCCAGAGATGAAATAGTGACTTGATTTATATTTCTTTGGGCATGTCTACATCTGCATTTATGAGCGCCTAAACTTAATACACATTTGCCTAATGCACATTAAAGCGATTTAGGCACATGTCTACACATAAAGTTAGTCCCCAGTCAGTCAACATACACAGTATTAATGTGTCTCAGCACATCTATATGTGCATTAAGGTGCGAACAGCCTAAAATCACCATTTTAAGGTGCATTAAGGGCGCACACATGTAGACTCACACTCTTAATGTGCCTCAAAAATGGCCAATGCGTCTTAAATAGGTACATGCAGATGCGCCCTTTTACTGGTTACTCTCTTGTTCTAGCACATAAAAAATCTGTAACTGTCTCATACTAGTAGAAAACTGCTTACTCTGGTTGGTTATTAGTTTACTGAGGTACAATATAGATAGTTTGTGAGAGGACAAAGCATAAATGACAAGAACCATGTGAACTACAGGTACCTAATACATCTTTTGTTTCACTGTGTCTCTGCATGAATGAACAAGCAAAAAATTCCAGTCAGCTTGAGGGATGGAAACAGAAAATCTTTATTGAAAGATTCAATATGGCAGACTTCCTGTCATTATTAACATCATAGCATAATAGCACAGTACTGTGTCAGAACTTTACTTAGGAACCCTTCACAAAATTATGGGAATAAAAATAAGAGTAGTTCCTTCTCAAGAGAGCTAAAGATCTGGGACTTTATTAGCAGAAGACAAAAATGAAGATAGATCCAATAAAGTCTATATGTGACTACATAAATAGCCCTGTACTCTGGGTATCCATCCTTGGTGCACAGCGTACATAGGTTCCGATTTAGAATAGTTTATGTGGTGAAAAGCAGAATTCAAACCCAAACTTTCCCAGGTTTGCCCATTTCTCATGATACTTGCTACTACAAGTTACAATGCGACTTCAAGCTACATATAAACCATTTTGATGTATGTTCTGTTCGCTACTGATCAAAACTACACTGCTTATAGAAAACCATGTAACTTCTACTGATTCTGCCTCAGGCTTTTTAAATGTCTGTACCTAGCCCCATTGAAGAGAATAATCCTGAAATGGTGAAGAGATGGCAAGGATGACCTAAAAAATCTTTTCCATTGCTAAACTCAGTAGCTAAGTACAGACATTCAAAAAGCTTGAGCCTGAATTGATTCAATCTTTTCAGGTTAATCTAACCTGCATAGATTGAACCAACAGTTACAAAAGAAAAGACTTCTACGCTGGGCATAGACATTACACTTTTACTGGTACAAGTGACTGGAAACCAGTCTATACCCATAACAGAACAGAAGTTTGGCGCACATAGACTGCTTTAAAAATGGAGGAATCCCACTCCCTACCATCAGAGTGGTCAGCCCTTCCAGCTCCTGGCCTGGAAGAGGGAGTGTCTGGGCAACAAGCTTTGACTTTGTACTTAAGCTGCTGTACCCTTGGCTTACACTGCTACTGGTACTCTGTCAGATTCTCTGGATACCCAGCCTGGCTTGTCCACAAACCCTGAGTGTGGCCAGACCCCTCTGGCACCCTGACCCAACTGGTTTGATCCCCTGGATACCAGACCTGGCTAGCCTCCTGACAGATTCATGCTCTGATGGACTCTCTAGATGTCTGACTCAGTTCCCAAAATGGAGCTCTTGGCTTTTCTGTACTCAGATTCTGTACATTCCCTTGGATCTTGATGCTTCTTCTGATCCTGGGTGACCCCCAGACCTGCCCCCTGCCCAATGGCCCATTCAGGTGGTCCGCAGAAAGGTTGCGGAACAATCAAGAATATCTGTACTTGTAAGGCAAGACTACTGATATTAAAATATGAGTTGTGTGCTTTGACTTGTAGGACAAAAAAAGTTTAAGTCGTCCACTGAGATCCTCAGCAATTTTCAAGTGGTCCACAAAAAAAAAAAGTTTGAGAACCACTGGCTTAGTTTCGCTTTTTGTGGAATAACAAGGGCCAGATTTTCAAGAGTCTAATATATGCTGCAAAATCTTATCATAAGCATCACAATAAGAATTTGTGTGTGTATGGGTAGATGTAGGATTTTGTAGGGGTAGTGGTATGGATGATGTGGTGCTTTATCGCTTATAAAGCAATGCTTTATCAAATTAAAAAGAAACAAAGTTTTACTAATAAGTTAATGCCCTATGGCTATATAACTCAGAGCAAAAACAAATATAAATGGGATTTACATTAAATTGTAATATCATATATTATGTTAAAAAACACAACAAGGCAGGCAAAAATAATCAAAAGGTGTTGTTTCATTAGTCCTGCAGTCAGTAGAATTAAACAGACATCTCTTTTTCAGATTAATACAACACAATCGAGCCTTCTTGAGCATCTTGACAGTGCACTCAGTGTTTCACTGGGTGTGTCTACACATGTATTTACATGTGCCTAAACTTAATGTGCCTTTGCTTAAGATGATTTAGGCGTGCATCTACAAGTGGACATGCTAATGCACATTATGGTGCATTAAATTTAGGTGCAAATAGCGACATCACATTAGTGCACGTGCATATGCACGAATGCACATTAAAGTGCATTCCATGCATCCACCTCTAGCTGTGTGCCAAACACTTTTTAAAAATCTAGGCCTTTTTTAAATGCCTAAGTAGTATTAAACTTTGTTGGAAATCTGGCTACATCATATTTCAGAAATACAGGGGACAGGAAAACTTAAGAGACTAACATTAGTGGCTCTTACAGTTTAAAATCCTGCCCACTTAGTCAGGATAAAGTACAGATAGTTTGTCCTCACAAACTCGGCTCTGTATTATTTTACCTAAAGAGACTGCTTGCAGACTTTAAAAAAAAAAAAGCAGCCCTTTACTTTAAACTCGGCGTGCCCCCACGCTGATCCCATCACATGTCTAGAAGAGTCAGCATCTTAGTTGGACCTAGCTCTACAGTATCTGTATAGATCAAGCGCTTTAGTAGGGCTTTTTGGCACTTTTATGTAATAGCAGATTGAATCAGCTTGAGCTAAAAGTGCCCAAAAGCCACAATGAAGCAGCTGATCTACACAGACGCTGCAGAGCCACGTCAAAGTAACGCACTTCTTCCGGTATTTTTTTTTAATGTCTGTAAGCAGCCAGAAATATCAGCTAGCTCTGGATACTATTAAAGATTTTTTTTTTCTTTTTGGGTAGAATACTACTAGCAGACAACTACCACTAAGATAACTAGGACATTAAGCAGAAGGGTGTGTACAGCAACCTATATACTGCACCTCCAAAACTGTTTTCAGCTTTTCTCTCTGGCCTCTATGCTGCCTCCTCATGTGCCCTCCTCATGTTCTGTTTCTGCACCTTCACTCTTCCATGGAGGTGCTCTCCTCCATGTTTTGCTTCAGCCTTGAAAGTACTGAGCAGCTAACTTATGCCCAAGTCCAATCAGGATCCAGAAGCTAGATGCTCTTTAAGCTACTTTCCCTGATAGGGTTGATAATCTATTCATGTTCTGAGAACACCTGTACACCTGAACACTGTATACCTACAGCCTTGAGTGCAGTATAAAATGAAGTGGCAGCCACTGCTTTCTTTTATACGATAACTTTGTGGTTAGTACACTCAGCCAAGTTATGGGAACTATGGGTGCTTTTATACATGACAAAAAATGCCTTTTTTTTGCAGTTTAATTGCATTACAATTTACATGTATGGTATTTTTTTTTGCAATCTTCATGAGTTTGTTGCAATGCAAAATAAACCACATCCCAATGCATTTTAGTTTGCATCGATGCAAATTACAGCAACACAGCCACTGATCTGTCACGTGTACATGTGAAGTCACTGAATAACATGTAATGAGCCGCTCTGTCCACCCAATGTAACTTCAATTTGCAGGTATTTCTGTGTAATGGCTATTTTCAGACACCAAGTGTAGCTGCCCGCCTGACATGATTCAGTCTTTTGCTCAGGAGCAGATTATGAGTGCCCCTGCTTCATGCAAGGAAAATCACCTGGCCACTTCATGCAGGTGGCTAGGATCAGTTTCATTTCCCAGTAAAAGCTAAATTGCTACCACTCAGTCTGAGCACTGCAGGAGGCAGACAGCTTGCTGCCTACACGGACACCCCTGCCAGCCCAGCACTGCTCTGCCCAGGGTGCCCATCTGGGCCTTGCTGCCCCTGGCTTCCCAGGGGGATCCCTGATTGCCAGTGGCACAGCTGACCCATAGGCCCATAACCCACCCCTGCTTCATCCAAGGCATATAAAACCACCTGGCTGCTTTATGCAGGCAGTTGGGAGTGGTTTAATTTCCTGCTAAAAAGCAAATTGCAGGCACCTGCTCCCAGGACTTCAAGCAGCAGGAAGCCCCAGGATGTGCCCACTACCTACACAGACACTCCCACCCAGCCAGCATGGCCCTGATCAGGGTACCTGCCTGGGTCTTGCTGCCCCTGGCTCTCCAGGGTGGGACTTTGATTGCCAGGGGCACCGTCAGACCATAATCTGCCTCCGCTTCATGCAAGAATATAAGCACCTGGATGCTTTGCACAGGTAGGTGGGAGTGATTTCATTTTCCGCTAAAAAGCAAATTGCAGCAGGGAGCTAAGCTCTGCAAAGAAACATTTTGCAACTGTTGCATTTTATGCTGGAGCCAGGGAGCAGAGGCTTCTGTGAGTCACAGTCTGAATGGCTTAGCGCCACTGGGCAGGGATTCTTGGGAGCCCTGGTGAGGAAAAGAAGTTTTGCCAAACTCAGTGACTTAGACACTGTGACCCATTGACCCAGACACTGCTCCCAGCATCTTCTGCCTGAACGACTGACCAACCCCTCAGCCCCCCAACCCTCCAGGACACCACCTGCCCCTTCCCTGGCATTGGGCCAGGCACAAGCCTCAGGTCTAGCATGTATCTGAAGCCTGAGTCACCAATGCAAACCGTGAAAAGTGTCTTCCCTGGTAAAATTAAAGCTCAGGTGGGGGTGGGGAGCTTGCACACCAGAAAAATTGGGCAAGACTCTGGTGAGGGATGTCCAGGAGATTCCCCTGGTGATAGAGAGGCATAGTGCTGTGTGGCCCAGAAAGGATTTGCAGCTGTAATCACAACCAAATAGCCAGTTCCTTATTTGAGATATTTTACTTAGCACAGACTAATTTCCCCCACAACACCATTTATTTGCTCACCAGTTTTACATAAAAACAGGCAAGCAGCTTTCTGTGTGCCCACTTCAGTGTTAAGTGTGCCTGCTTTATGAAAAGTGGGTCAGTTGTGTCAGTATTTGTTCCCTCACTGGCTATAGAAAAACTGTGAGCAGGAACTGGTGTCTTCACACATGGGTCACTGGTGGGTAGCCTTCTGTTGTGCAGTGCCATGAAAGGGACCCTGTGGGTGTCCATCGTGGGCCTAGACATCAGTACATGGCTCACTGATTAGGTACACTTGGCGAATATTTCTAGTGCCAAAACTTGCAAAAAACTGTCCAGAACAAGTATACCCATAAGATACAAAGTTGCC